CTGGTGGGAGGAGCCTGCTCGTGGCTTTCCTTCGGCACCTGGGCCAAGTCCTCCCAGTTCACCCAGACCCACCACGTGACGCCACTGTCCCCACTGTCACCCTCTCTGACCTGTCCTTCCATGCTGGACACCAACAGGGGCTGGACACCCTAGCACATGTCACCACCCTGTGGCCCCTTCCATTTCACCTGAGGGACCCCACTGCTGCCTGGCAGACACCTGAAACCAAGTGTGTGTTGGCAGGCAAAATGTCCCTGGTGCTTCTGAAGAGGGGACCGACCCCCCCCATGGTCCCAGGTGTTGCATTGAGACGTAAGGGCTGGCCAAGCGCGGAGCAGCCAGGCTTTCCTGCGTGGGGGGCCGCGTGGGAGGAGCAAACGGACAAGCCTGCTCGTGAGCCAAGCTGGATGAGCACACGGGGTCTGGGGTTCCTGGCTTGGGGACCACACCTGAGCCACGGCCTCCGCCAGCCGTGCTAACAAACAAGGCCTGTTCTTAATAACAGCGAGCGTGTCCTCTGAAGGGACAGGACCCAGACTCGGAGGAGACTTCCAAGAGAGAAAATAAAGACCAACACTAAAATCCCTCTGAGCGTCCTCCCAAGGAACTCAACCTGGCCTTGGACCTGGGAGCGGGGCGCCCCTTTTTCTGTGGCTGCCAGTGGCCCTGGTGCGCACAGAACCACAAGGTGAGCCCCATGGCGAGCCTACCTTCGGGCGTGTTTCAGAAACATGCAGGGCTGACGTGCTCCCTCAGAGCCGAACCCCCACGTGGAGGGCGGCAGAGCGGGGTCTGAACTGGCTCCCCGCTCCCCAGGACTGCTTCCCCCTCACCCTCGGCCACACCCCATCCTGGCCTCTGCCACCTCACACTTGCCACGGGCCGGTCCCCCCAAAGCACAGCCCTGCCCCTTGGAGGCCTCCCCATCCCCTACCGGAACATCTCACAGGGCCCCCAGACCCTCCCAAGCCCTCTGAGGTGTGCGAGATGGGCACTCAGGCCCCCACCATGCTTCCACGGTCACCACCCCCACTTCCTGGAGAACATCTTCCCTCAGCCTGGACTCAACGGACCCCCAAGCGCAGGGGGCCGGTGAGTGCCCTCAACGCATAGGACTCCATGACTACAGTGAGTCTACCCTAGGTGCCCCAACTTCTCTGAGGGGTCCGGTCCAGCATTTAGGGAGCAGTGAGGAGGGGTCGGGGTGGCGCGGGTGCTGGGCCTGAGAGCAGACACCGCCCTGCTCCTGGGTGCTTGACCGCCCACACTGGGCTGTGGACAGGGACAGGCAGACTCGGGCCCCAGCCCAGATGCCCCCAAGGGGAGAAGCACGAAGCGGTGTGGTCTACTCCCCAGGCCTCGCCCCGTCAGGCCCCACGTCCTGACAGGTGCCAGGGCAGCAGAGTGGCCGAGGGTCGGCTGCCACCAGCCGGGGGACCTCTCCATGCCGGGTCCTCGTCTGTGAGAGCGGGTGGCTGGGAGGTGTCGGGGCGTCCGTGGGGGAGAAGGCCGGAGCGCGGGCCCTGGCGCCGGGCACGGCGGGGGTCGAGTGCGGGCCCCGGGGGCTCCCCAGCAGGCCGCGGGAGACTCAGGCGCTTCTGACCAGAGGCCCGCAGAGGTTCCGAGGTCCCAAGTCCGGGCCGTCCACGCTCCCGCCAACGGCCACCGTCCGAGC